CTGTCGGAGTGAGGTCCCTGTTTCCTTGCTGGATGTTAGCTGGGGTTGACATTAACCCCTATAGGCCTCTTGGTCCTTGTGAGTGGCCCCTCTCCATCTCAGAGCCAGCAATGGTGCATGGAATCTATTTCATGCTTACAATCTCTCTGACTTCTCCTGCCACATCTCTTCTGCCTTCAGCCAGAGAAAGTCCTTTGCTTTTAAGAACTCATGGGATTAGATTGGGCCATCTCAGATAACCCAGCATTATTTCTCTATCATAAGGTTCATAACCTTATTAAAAAGAATGTAGCTATAGCTTCTGACCAGGAGTGAAATATATGATATGTACTTCAGTTTAAAAGACACTGGCGAGTAATGTATATAGTAAAATGTAGTTTATGGAGAAAAAAGGAAATAAAGTAAAAAAATATATAGGTAGAGAAAGGTATGGGAGAATATACTAAACTGCTAGCATTCTGGGAGTTGGATTGGTTGGGGAATTTTTAATTTTTAAAATATGTCTTGTTTGATTTGCTTTAACATGTAGCTCTTTTGTTTTACCCATTGTCGTCAAGTTGGTTCTGACTCATAGCGACCCTATAGGACAGAGTAGAACTGCCCCACAGGGCAGCTGCTGGCATAGTGGTTAGGAGCTACAGCTGCTAACCAAAAGGTTGGCAGTTTGAATCCACCAGACGCTCCTTGGAAACCCTATGGGGCAGTTCTAGGCTGTCCTATAGGGTCGCTATGAGTCAGAATTGACTTGTCAACAACAGGTCTTTTGTTTTAAATATATATAAATCACATATGTTATATATAAATATATTATATATAAATCATATATTATATATAAATATATATATAAATCATACCTATAAATTACATATGCATATAAATGTGTGTTTTTATGTGTGTGTATATGTTTGTATTTCCTATTCTAGGAAAAATAACTACATTTCAGCTTTATTCCTTTGTTGTATGAAAGCTATTTTAAGTTATTTGTGTTGCTTCTCCCTAGAAGTGACAGAACAGATCCTCCAGGAGAAACAAGGGAGAAATTAAAGAACAACTCCTTTACCAATGGAAAGAAACCATTTCTAAGCTTTCTTTCTCCACTTTTGGTAGGAGCTGAGCTCCTTCGTTATGACTGACAAAAATTCCTGCCTCCATATTCTTTGTTGCAAAAATACATGAGCCACAAAAATATGCTTTGACAGAGGTGTTTTCTCTCAGATTTCATAGGTTAAAAGTAAAAGGGGAAGCAGTTTCACTTTAAGTAAAAATTCTCTCTTAGTGGCACTTCCAGGGGCTGCCACTTCTGGGTGGAGGACAGGAAGTAGCCACTCTGGGCACAATTGCTGCAGGCTGGCTATCAGCATGCCAGCCACAGGGGTGTTCCCAGCTGGAATGGCCGTGCACTTCAGTCACTAAGTATAATTTTGTGCAGCCCATTCACCCAAGTTTATGAGGTCAGTTTGCACTCTCTTGGTCCAACTCAAGAAACAAACTTAGCACAGAGTAGGAAGAGGAGGGAGAGATTTTCAAGATTAGATCCTCTCAGTTTAGCACTGTTGGGGTTTGGTTTAGTCCCTGTGTGGAAAATCAGGATTTACCTGCCAAATGAAGCCAGTGTCTGGGTTGTTTCAACAAATACAGGAAGGAGGGAAGGAAGGAGACAAGCAACAAAACGATACACCCAAAAAGAGCCCGAAGGTCTTCTTACCTCATGTCTATCTATGGATTTTAAAGCATTTCTAGCTTAGAATTCTTTTCCATTTGTGAAATCTAGCTCTGTGGCATTTTGAAAAAAATAACAACACTATTATATGTATGTAGAAGTTACAAATCATAATAAAATGCACTCCCATGATTCCACCATCCAACCTAATTTAGAAAGCATAGAACTCCCCTGTACCTTCCTTGATCCCTCATCTCTATACCTACCCCAACCCTTAGCGGTAACCATTCTCCTGAATTTTTTTTCTCATTCCCTTTTTCTTTATAATTTTACCACATACTGTGAATCCCCAAACAATATATTGTTTAGGTTTGCCTTTTTTAAATTGAATTTTTAAAAAATGATCTCATACTATATATGTACTATGTATTCTATTGAGACTTTTTTTTTCACTCTATTCATTCAACCATATTGATTCCTTTACCTGTAGTTCATTCATTTTTACTTTCGTATTTCATTATATGACTATACCACAAATTTATTTATTCATTCTCTATTTGGGTTATTTTAAATTGTTTTCTGCTACAAACATTGCTGTACTGAACAACCATATATATCTGGTACTCATACACAAGGGTTTCTCTAGGCATATACTTAACAGTGGAATTGCATGTTCAACTAACAAGATACTGCCAAACTGTTTTCCAGAGTACTGACTCCAATTATATTCCCGCCAGCAGTATATGAGTTCCCATATGCCACATCCTTGCCAGTACACATCCTCATTGACGGTGGGTTTATGAGGCATGTTTAGGGATCTAGGCTGTAGTCTAGGAATAGTGGAAAGCCACTGGAAGATGTTAAGCAAATGAGTTACATGATATGATTTTCACTTAAAAAATATCATTCTGGCTCCAGTGTGGGAGATAGTTTGGAGCCTGGACAGGAGTAAATATAGGGAGACTAGCTTGAAAGTGTTTACAGAAGTTCATTTGGAGCATCTTTAGTCAAAATTAAGCATTCTGTGATAACTTTTTTACTTTCCTTTTAAAAGCAATTTTCTTATAGTAGAAAAATTTTAATAGTGAAAGTAAGATTTAGGGGAGTTGAATAGCCTGAGGACTGTGTAAGCAAATTTCTCATGTCCCACCTGCTTAGATCATTGAACCCCACAGGATTACAGGAGACACACACCGTAAATCATGAAGGAAATGAGAGGCAACAGTAAGATTAGGAATGAAAAAAGGCAGGAGAACAGGAATGTGGTAAATGTATATTTCTATGAATGAGTCACAGGAAAGATATGGTGGCTTATTCACAGAAATATATTTGTGCTCCACAGAAATATATTTGTGCTAAATTCCTGATAGTCACTCAAGACACGTTTCTGTATAGACAGTACAACATGTACATCAGGAAGCGTTCCGTTTAATACTCATATCAAATTCACTAAATTCACTGAAGGAGAATTAGGAACATTCTGAGCCACCAATGGGGAACCTTCTGAACCATTTCTCTTGTTTTCAAGCATTTGTGGTATTAAGTACACAATAAAATATGCAAACAAGCCTATCAGGTATTTTTAATTTCTTTCCATTTAATACTGTTGCCTTTAAACTGATTCTAAATGTGTATTAGGGCTTTGGACTCCTCCTCCTGCCTCTATCCTTCTGGTATCCCCCATTAATCCTTTGCTCTCAATCAGGAACAGATGAACAGTGATGTTAGTGCTTTTCTCCCCATTCTTCTCTCTTACTTAATAGTTGTTTTTAAGGGTGGGAGATCCCAAATTTAAAAAAGAATAAACGAACCGTTGCCGCCAAGTCCATTCTGACTCATGGCGACCCCATATGTGTCAGAGTAGAACTGCACTCCATAGGATTCTGGGTGGTGCAAGTGGTTTGTGATTGGCTACTAACCCAAAGGTTGACTGTTCGAACCCACCCAGCACTCCACAGAAGAAAGTCCAGCAATCTGCTTCCCTGAAGATTACAGCCAAGAAAACCCTGTAGAACCATTTTATTCTATAACACAGGGGTCGCCATGAATCAGAACTGACTCCATAGCAATGGGTTTTGTTTTGTTTTGTTAATTTTTATGGAAACAGATCACCAGGCCTTTCTTCTATGGTGCTGCTGGATGGATTTGAACTGCCAACTTTTTGGTCAGTAGCCAAGCACAAACTGTGCCACCCAGGGACCAAATAGAAAGGTGGAGGAAAAATGTCCTTTTAGAGTCAAAAATTCATTAGCCATTAAATCATCTTTATTTTCTTGAAGAGAATACTGAGAATACTTAATCCGCAGGGAATGTGGGCAACGAAACAAAAACTGTGAATGCGTAACACACATGACTTCAGTTTATATACGAATCTTGCTATCTTTACTGCAGAGAAGTATCCCACTAGGGATTTAACTACCAAGGAAATGGAGATAATTTTTCTGGAGAACTTATTTGTTTTTCATGAAACAAAATTGTCAGCTTCTTTTCACATAACTTTTTAGGTTGAACTGAGTAAATTATGTCTGTTTATATTTGGTTTTAGTGATTAAAAACTCTTTTACTTCTCCTTCCTACTTAGCAAAGTTAGGAAATAGATGAAAACAAGCAAGTAAGTATCAGAATGTTCACTGTAACCTTGTTAGTGATAACAAAAAACTGGAAACAGAAACATCTATAAATACGGAACTGAATAAATAGTGCTCCATCCTTAAAACAGAATATTAGACAACCACCGAAAAGAATAAACGAGATAAACGTGTTGATATGAAAATATTTCCAAGATACACTGTTAAGGGAAAATAGCAAGATGCAGAAGAATATATATAGTTAGATGCCATTTATTTTATATGTATACGTATATATATGGCTCCTTGAGTAACAAGGAGCCCTGGTGGTGCCATGGTTAAAGCACTCACCTACTAACCAAAAGGTTGGCGATTCAAACCCATCAGCTGCTCCGTGGGAAAAAGATACAGCAGTCTGCTCCCATAAGGATTTACAGCCTTGGAAACCCATGGGGCAGTTCTACTCTGTCCTATAGGGTCACTATGAGTCAGAATCGACTCAAAGGCAGTGGAGTTTTTTTGTTTGTTTTTGGTTATGCTTATTACAATTATAGAGATAGAAATTTTCTAGAAGGATACATGAGAAAGTGATAACAAGTGTTACCTTTGGATAGTGGAACTGTGGGTTAGGGAAACTTATTTTTCATTTTATGCCCTTGGTTCTTTATGAAAGGTTTTCTCATTTTGTACATACTGCTTTTATAATAATAATTTTAAAATTAAGTTATAGTTTAAAATTAAAAGATAACCTTTTGCACTTTTTTTGTATTTAGCTTTTCCTAGGTGTTTTCATTTTCCTGCTTCCTTTGGCTTCACTTTCTCTCCGTGCAATTCTCATGCCCATACATGTGTATTCTGGACTTCTCATATTTGGAACAGTGATTGCAACAGCACTTGTGGGATTGACAGAAAAACTGTTTTTTGTCCTGTAAGTTCTATAGTTTTCCTAATTGTAATACTTAAGCTATAGTATGTTAAGTACTTGTTTATTGGAAAACATAATATAAATATAATTTTAAAGTATATTAAATTTTAAGATAAAAATATTGATTCATAAATAATTTGTTATTATATTATATATAATATATTATTATTAAAAGATTGGAAGAAGGACCAAAAAGTCCAACAGATTCTACCACGCTTTGAAAAGCAAGTACTAAAGTCATACATTCCCTTTCAGTCTTTCTGATGTGCATGTTTTTATATTAATTGTAATTAAAGTGTACATACATTTTTTTCATCTTTTTTTTCAATTCTTAAGTGATACAGGTGTTCCAGATGCTCTATTAAAATATTATATGAACATCATATTATTATGATTTTTTAAAGAATTTCATAGTATTCCATGGAGTAGATTACAGCATAACTTAAATTTCTCCTTAATATCAATCTTTAAGGGAATTTACATTGCATTTCTACCATGTGCAATTTAAACAGTTAATTCAACACTGTTTTGAATGTCGTTGTAACACCTTACTTGTAATTTAACACACACTCTTATTTTTTGCAGGAAAAATCCCGCATATAATTCATTGCCACCAGAAGGTGTTTTCACAAATACTCTCGGCCTTCTGATTCTGCTGTTCGGAGCCTTCATTTTTTGGATAGTCACCAGACCACAATGGAAACGTCCTCAAGAACCAAATTCTATCTTACTTCAGCCAAACGAAGGCACTACAGAGGGAGTGGACAGCTCCACAGCAATGAACTCTGGCAACGTGGACAAATCGGATTCAGAGTTAAACAATGAAGTAGCAGCAAGGAAAAGAAACTTCACCCTTGATGATGCTGGACAGAGATCCACTATGTAAAATGTTGGCGTGTGTAACTTCACTTGTACTAATTAGCCCTACAGGTTATCTTCTCCTATTTAGCCATAAGATGATTGTACTACATAGTGTCAATATTTATTTTAATCATAAAGTAGGATTTCTTGAAAGACTATGTATTGATTGGGACCTGTGAACTTATCTGAATTGGAAAGGACATGATCAATATAAATAATAGCATACAGTCGGCAATCCGTATCCATGGGTTCCACATCTTCAGATTCAACCAACCACAGATCAAAAATATTTGGGAAAAAAAGACAGACTTTTTTTTTCTTATCATTATTCCCTAAACAGTATAGTACTGTATAACTATTTACATAACAATTACATTTTATTAGGTATTATAAATAATCTAGAGATGATTTGAAGTATACGGGAGGATGTGCATAGGTAATATGCAAATTTTGCTTGGATCCACAATCAACGCCTGTGGAAGCAGCAGTCAAGAAATCAGACAACGCACTGCATTGGGCAAATCTACTGCAAGAGATCTCTTTAAAGTGTTAAAAAGCGAAGATATCACTCTAAGGACTCAGGTGTGCCTGACCCAAGCCGTGGTGTTTTCAATTGCCTCATATGCGTGTGAAAATTGGACAGTGACTAAGGAAGACCAAAGAAAAATTGATGCCTTTGAATTATGATGTTGGTCAAGAGTATTGAATATACCATGGACTTCCAGAAGAACAAACAAATCTGTCTTGGAAGAAGGACAGCCAGAATGCTCATTGGAAGCAAGGATGGCAAGACTTCGTCTCATGTACTTTGGACATGTTATCAGGAGGGACTAGTCCCTGGAGAAGGACATCATGCTTGGTAAAATAGAGGGTCAGTGAAAAAGAGGAAGACCCTCAGTGAGATGGATTGACATAGTGGGTGCAATGATGGGCTCAAACATAGCAGCGATTGTGAGGATGGCGCAGAACTAGGCAGAGTTTCATTCTGTTGTACACAGGGTTGCTATGAGTCGGAACCGACTCGACGGCACCTAACAACAACAAAAATGCCATTTTATATAAGGGACTTGAGCATCCACGGATTTTGGTATCCACGGAGGTCTGGAACCAATTCCCCGTGGATACTGAAGGATGACTGTATATAAATTGTGGTTATGTTACCTTTTTCTTGTTGAGAACCAAAGCGTTTAGCACGGTGCCTTACACAGAATCAGAGTGCCTTACCCAGAATAGATGCTCAATATGTGTCTGTCGGTTGGTTAATTTGGTAAACTGGCAACATAATGAGCTCTGATCATTTAGTCATTTCCTGGGAACCCAGTGATTCCAGAACTAGTAGAACTAGTACTGAAGTTTTAGAGTCAGATCATGAATCTCCGGGACAGGGTTTATACAGATATCATCACTAAATACAGAAAAAAAAAATTAGGAAAATAACTGGAAATATAGCTCTCTTCTCCCCACCTCTTCTCCTTCTTCCCTACTCCAGCTGGATTGGGCTCAGATATAAGACCAGGCTTTATATTACAGTATTCTGGAGCAGCAACTGAGGCCTGGGTGACTGAAGAAATCGTCTTGGGTCAGGCCCGGAAGATTGTCCAAAACTCAACTCAGTCCCAGTGCTTTTCCTTGGGATTGGTGTACTTTATGATTCAGAATCCAAACCTGCCTAGAAGGAGAGTAGGTCTGAATGCTTAAGCAGCGTAAACTGCTTTACAAACTTCAAAGGGCACTTTTCCCTAGGTTTCTGTTTTTATTTTTAAAATACTTACATAGCACTTGTATGTATTCTATTCTAAGCACTTTTCAAGTATTAGGTGGGTACTATTATTATCTCCATTTGGAGAGGTCAGATCCCTCACTTTTAAAATGGGGGTAATAGTAGTATTCGCCCCAAGGTCACCTAGCTTGTAAGTGGTAGAACTGAGATTCAAAACTCAGCAGTCTGGCTCCTGAGTCCATGATCCTAACCACTTCACTATGCTGTTTTTTTCTGTTTTATACTAATTTGCACCTACTTAGACCCACCTCTGAATAAATGTCACTTGCAAGAGTAGAGTGGCATTGTTAAAGTGGTGCTTCTTTACCTTCTGGCTCCCTTTTTCAAGACAAATGCCCCCAAATAACCAAGGAAAAGGGGTCAACAATACCTGGAAACAGGGCACAGACACCCTGCCACTACCAACCAGCCATGGCCTGCCTCGATGCCTCTGGGATCTTAAAATTGTGTCTTGGTGGCAGAGAAGGTTTGGCTATGAGCGCGTGTAGTTTTCAGGATGAATCAAATTGCAATTTTTGTTTTCGAATCTTAGCTGCTGAACAGCTTTAGGTGAGATAGTAGGCCTGCCTACCCTAGGGCGATGGCTAGGGCCTTTCCTGATAGTGGTGGAATTTTAGGGGACATTTTGAGCTTCAGGTTCTCAGTAGTGAATTGAGAACCAGAAAAACCCTATGAGGTACGTACTATTTTTATCCCCAGTAACCATTCACAGGTAGCCAATCAAGATTCCCTCATGACAACATTGTTTTCTTCTTTTTTAATTAATTCAGTTTCCAAAATTGGTAAGAGTATCAGAAGGATCCCCAGGGCCAAACAATGCCTGGCACATAGTAGGCACAATTAAATTCAGTATGGTAGAGCATGCTACAAACTAGCTGTCCCTGGGTGGTACAAACAGTTAATGCATTTGGCTGCTAACCTAAAGGTTGCAGGTTTGAGTCTACCCAGAGGTGCCTCAGAAGAAAGGCCTGGAGATCTACTTCAGAAAAATCCGCCATTGAAAACTCTATGGAGCACAGTTCTACTCTGACACACATGGGGTCATCATGAGTTGGAATCACCTCGATGGTAAGAGCATGCTATAAACTAAACACAAATATATTCTGATACATGGATGTTTCATTACATATAGGTGAAAAAAATTCCAGGCTTTTTTTGCAGGGGAACAGCGACTGAACCCTGCGAATCAAGGCTGCCATTCCATTTTATAAAGGTCAAGAAAGTGGTTATCAGTGAAAAGTTAATTGTGGATTGGCAGTAGAATAGCTCCGTTGCAAAGTATTTGAGCACCCGTCACCCCAGCCCTTGATTTTATCTCTCACGGGGACTAATGTGAGGGTAATCTTACAGATAGTATAGAAACTTCTTTTCTTTCTCAGCCTCTATGAAAACAATGCATAGTAAAATATATCTAGAAAATCTTTATGTTTGAGACTCTTCTTTTAATGGGCTTTTTATTCTAATGATAATTGCACGTTTATCTTTCAAAAGCTGTTAATTCTTACCTAAAGCATCTCCCTCCAAAATATCTTAGAAAAAGCCCTCAAAAAGAATCGGAGAGAAAAAAACCATAGGTATCAATTCCAAAACAGTGACTGAAACCTCCCAGAATAATTATAGCTTATATCATCTGCAGAGATAGTCTGGCTTGGCCTACCCCATAATCTAATTTCAGAAAAGAAAGCTTTATTTTAACACTCATCTAAATCAACACTAAAGCCTTTTTTCTCAGAGAGTTTATTGAGAAACTCAAGTGAATATAGTTTTTGAATTAATGTCATCGAAAGTGTACAGCTTCCTGTGCTCCTTATGTCAAACTGAACCCTCTCTCCAAAGCAGTTTCTTTCCTTTACTTGTGTGGTTTCATTTAAGCTATGCTGTTCAGAAACAGAATCTCAGACCTTACAATCAAATGACAAAGAAGCCAATTGCACTTTTTAAGGAATACTGACAAGTGGATTCCGTTTTCTAAAGGACAAAATAGAAAGTATGTCTCGTTAATTAGGCTTTTCTTCCTACTCAGTCGGAAATCCCAGGGCAGTACTGGTGGACCACATCAACAGCCAAATCTAAAAGCGCAAGGGAAGAAGTAAATCTTTATGCTAGTTTTATTGCGATCTAACGGAAGTTTTATCTTGGTATGTCCTTTTTTAGATAACTCCAACAGAAAACTATAACTGCTCTGTGTTATAGCTACATATGGGGAAGTACAGATGAGAGAACTATTGTTCATTATTCCCAACAAGGTACTTGAAAACCTTAAGTGTAAAAGAAAAGATTTTTGTCTTCAGTTTTTCCAGGGCCCGTGCAATTCCGTATGAATTTGTGGATCAGTTTTTCCATTTCTGCAAAAAAGCCCACTGGAATTTTGATAGGGATTGCTCTGGCGGGTATTGCCATATTAACGGCATTAAGTCTTCAAATCCATGAGCAAGAGATGTTTCCATTAATTTAGGTCTTCTTTAATTTCTTTCGGCAATGTTTTGTAATTTTCATCTCCTTGGTTAAATTTATTCCTACATATTTTATTCTTTTAGATATTATTGTAAAATGGAGTTGTTTTCTTAATTTCCTTTTCAGATTGTTCATTAAGATTTTTATCCTTAAATTTGTCTTTTTATCTCAGCACATTTATGGAAAAATATTAAATAACCTGAATATTTTATAATTTTGTAGGAAAAATATGCATCTATTTTTTTCTTGACTTGTTTTTATATAGTAATAAAAGTTATTTGGAAGCTTTTTGTGTCTGTTATCAATTTGTCCAGGTTAGAAGGTATAGGCACTGTTTTTTTGTTTTTGTTTTTTTTTAGGTATAGACACTGTTTTGAAATTTTCTTTCTTATGTTTTTTGTTTGTTTGTTCAATGGTGATTTTTTTTAAAGTTCCTTTATTGAAAATGCTATCGGGTATCTCTATAAAGTGTACTCTGAACACCATACCTTTTACATTGATAAAAGTATCACAGGAATGTTTCAAAACTGTGTCACGTTCCTGCCATATGAAATCTGAATTGGAGCCACATGTAGTGTAGATGGGTGCCATAGATGTAGGCAGCTAGGGCAGATGCTGTTAAGTTGGAAAATCATGGAAGAAAAACGCTGATTATTACACAACTCTGTGTTGATAGTAACTTGTTTTAGAGAAAAGTACCTAATTCATAATGAGTGAATTGGGTTTTTTTTTTCAAATAAGAAAGATCATTATCATCTGAGTAGTGGCAATACTCATACCACTCTTAATAAGACAGATTGTTTAGACTTTTTTAATCTACTCTTTGTCTCCTGGGAAATGTTAATGATATTTTATGTCATGTAGCTGTTAAGACATTGTAGTACTCTCTGCCCTATTCTACAGTAGAGCTGTAATATTGTGTGTGAATTGAATTTTTATAAGTTACATCATATTTCATCACTGATTTATATTGTTAATTTCAGGGG